TTTGTTGCTAAATTTGCAGATGATACAAAGATAGGTGGAAGGACATGTGGTTTTGAGGAAGGCTGCAGAAGGGCTTGGAATGCTAGAAGAATGGGCAAAGAAGTGGCAAATGGAATACAATGTGGGAAAGTATGAGGTTATGCACTTTGGTAGGAAGAAGATAAAGTTGCACGGTATTACAAGTAATGTATTGGCATGGATAGAGGATTGGTTGACTAGTAGAAAGCAAAGAGTAGGGGTAAATGGGTGTTTTTCTGGTTGGCGGTCAGTGGCTAGTGGTGTGCCTCAGGGATCAGTGTTGGGACCGCAATTGTTTACAATTTACATAGATGATTTGGAGTTGGGGACTAAGTGTGGTGTGTCAAAATTTGCAGATGACACTAAGGTAAGTGGTAGAGTAAAGTGTGCAGAAGACACTGAAAGTCTGCAGAGGGATATAGATAGTCTAAGTGAGTGGGCAAGGGTCTGGCAGATGGAGTACAATGTTGATAAGTGTGAGATCATCCATTTTGGTAGGAATAACAGCAAAATGGACTATGTTTTAAATGGTAAAAAATTGCAGCACGCTGCTGTACAGAGGGACTTGGGTGTCCTTGTGCATGAATCGCTAAAAGGAGGATTGCAGGTGCATCAGGTAATTAAAAAGGCAAATAGAATTTTGTCTGCCATTGCTAGAGGGATGGAGTTTAAAAACAGGGAGGCTATGCTGCAGCTGTATAGGGTCCTGGTGAGACCACACCTGGAGTACTGTGTGCAGTTTTGGTCTCCTTACTTGAGAAGGGATATACTAGCACTGGAGGGGGTGCAGAGGAGATTCACTCGGTTGATTCCAGAGTTGAGAGGGTTGGATTATGAGGAGAGACTGAGTAGACTGGGATTATACTCATTGGAATTCAGAAGAATGAGGGGAGATCTTATAGAAACATATAAGATTATGAAGGGAATAGATAAGGTGGAGGCAGGGAGGTTGTTTCCGCCTGCAGGTGAAACTAGGACGAGAGGGCATCGCCTCAAAATAAAGGGAAGCAGATGTAGGACTGAGGTCAGGAGGAACTTCTTCACCCAAAGGGTTGTGAATCTGTGGAATTCCCTGCCCAGTGAAGCGGTTGAAGCTACCTCGCTGAATGTTTTTAAGGCAAGGCTAGATAAATTTTTGAACAGTAAAGGAATTAAGGGTTATGGTGAGCGGGCGGGTAAGTGGAGCTGAGTCTCAAAAAATCAGCCATGATCTTATTGAATGGAAGGGCAGGCTCAAGGGGCCAGATGGCCTACTCCTGCTCTTAGTTCTTATGTTCTTATGTTCTTAAGAATAGAGGTGGAGACTATTTTCTAAATGGGGAAAGGTTTGAGAAATCTGAAGCACAAAGGCACTTGTAAATGAAATTTCAGCACTCATTTCAACAGGCTAGAGCACAAGAGCAGAGATGTACTGCTAAGGCTGTGTAAAGCCCTGGTCAGACTGCATTTGGAATAATAAGAGCAGTTTTGGGCTCCGTATCTAAGGAAGGATGTGCTGGTGTTGGAGAGGGTCTTAAGGAGGTTTACAAGAATGAACCTGGGGATGAAGGGTTTGCCATATGAGGAGCAGTTGAGGACTCTGGATCTGTTCTTGATAGAGTTTAGAAGAATGAGGGGAGATGTCATTGAAACTTACAGGATACCGAGAGGCCTAGATAGAGTGGATGAGGAGATGTTTCCACTAATACGAGAGACTTGGAACCAAGGACTCAGCCTCAGAATGAAGGGACAATCCTTTAGAACTGAAATGAGGAGGAATTTCTTCAGCCAGAGGGTAGTTAATCTGCGGAACTCACTGCCACAGTTGGCTGTGGAGGCCAAATCACTGAATGCATTTAAGACAGAGATAGATAGGTTCTGGATTAGTGAGGGGATCAGGGGTTATCGGGAGAAGGCTGGAGAATGGGGTTGTGAAACATATCAGCCATGTGTGAATGGTGGAGCAGATTCAATGGGCTGAATGGCCTAATTCTGCTTCTATATCGTATGGAGTTATGGTCATTAGTCTAAGCCTCTGAATTATTAGCGTAGTAACCCAAACACTCTACTACAGTACCCATTTTCTCTAAAGAGTTTATAAGTATGTGGTATCTGTGCTTTGGGTCTAGGCGAAGTTTGGAATGTGGAAATTCAAGTGAGGATCAGGTTCCTAAAGCAAGTGAGGATAGACAATGGCCTAGTGGTATTATTGCTAGATTATCATCCTGAGACTGGAAAGAAGAGTCTAAGGCTGCTGATAGCACAGAAATCCATCTGTTTTACTAATGTTCCTTTGGGGAAGGAAACTGTTGCCCATACCTGGTCTGGCTTACATGTGAGTTAGAGACCCACAACAATATAGTTGATTCTTAACTGCCGTCTGGACAATCAGGGATGGGGAATAAATGAAGGTCTAGCCAGTGACACCCACAATCCATGAATACATTTTGAGATAAACTCTTGAAGAATGGAAGCAACTGTAAAGAACGTGAACCTCGTTGAAAACAGAGGTGTGTTGCTGATGTTTTCTTGCTCTACCCTCATCCGAAGTTCAGCAATGATGAATTTCAGATGTTCACAATTTGACGTGGGATAAAGATAACGATCTCTCCTTCAATGTCAGCAAAACCAAAGTGTTGATCATCGACTTCAGGAAGCAAGGTGGAGGGCACGCCGCTACCTACATCAATGGAGCTGAGGTGGAGATGGTCGAGAACGTCAAGTTCCTGGGAGGGACGATCACCCACAATCTGTCAAGAAGGCACAACAACGCCTTTTCTTCCTCAGGAGGCTAAGGAAATTCAGCATGTCCATAAGGACTCTCACCAACTTTTACTGATGCACCATGGAAAGCATTCTATCTACAAGTATCATGGCTTGGTACAGCATATACTCTGCCTGGGACGGTAAGAAACAATAGGGAGTTGTGAGCACAGCTCAGACCATCACGCAAGCCAACCTCCCATCCACTGATTCCATCTACACTTCTTGCTGCCTTGGGGAGATAGCCAACATCATTAGAGACCCCTCCCACCCTAGTTACAGTTTCTTCCAACCTCCTCCATCAGGCAGAAAATACGGAAGCTTAAACACATGTGCCAACAAGTTCAAAAACAGCTTCTTCCCTGCTGGTGTTAGACTGCTGAATGGACCTCTCAAATTTCAAATCTTGATCTTGCTGTTTGTGCACCTTCTTTGCAGCCGTAACTTTGTATTCCTCGCTCTGTTCAATCATCCTACGATCTTAGTTTGCTATGATCTGCCTGTACTGCATGCAGAACAAAACTTTTCACTGTACCTAGGTACATGTGACAATAGTAAATCAAATCAAATCAAAAATCGAAATTTATACGACTGAAGAAAACGTTGCTGATTGGTTGGCATGTTGCTATGATCTGTTGAAGTTCGGAATTCTTACGTTTGTCCTGATGGTATCATCTGTCCATATTTAGCCTGATTCAAGTTCCAGTCTACTAAGAATAATTTCAATATAAGGTAGTGGAACCCAGGAATGGATTTGGAGCCTCAGTGCAAACTAGGGACTTCTGAGGTCTTGCAAACTACATGGACTTTGTGCTTCCCTGTGTTGGGAGTGCAGCTCCTGCCTATGCAGCAATGCTCTCATTTAATCTGGTGAAATATGGTCCTTCCTTTGTAATAAGATAGATAATTAGCTTCAGCAGGAGTAAGAAGCACAGACGTCAAGAAAAATAGGCAAGAATAAACGGGAATATAAAGTGCAATTGTGACAAGATTTCATTGAACTGCTGACGATTGCAATAAATTGTTTATTTTTTGTTAGGGAGAGATCATTATCATTGTTCCCTTGGTCTATTTGCAATCCAGTCTTCTTCTTGTAATAAAGTTGCTGAAATATGTCCTGGGTGATTTGTAAACTGTTAGTATTTTCGCCAGGTTTTGTAGAGCCAATTCGGCCCTTCAAGCCTGCTCTGTCATTCAATAAGATTGTAGCTAATTCAATTCAATTCCACTTTCTCACCTACCCACAATAAATACCTATGTCTAAATCCTCATGATTTTGTACCTGGCCAAAATTGCTAGCAAATATTTCTAACAATTTAATAGGCTTTTTACATCACAAGCTGGCCGTGACTTCTCAATTCAGCTTCCTCCCTACATCCCTCGGCCCTTGAAAAAGAAATATCTTTGTGGGAGAGAGGGCGAGACTGAGGACAGTCATCAGGACCTAAAAGGAGAGAAGAGGTCCTGGATATTGGGAAGTTTGCAGAAATCAGGACATCCGGACCTGCTGGAGACACCTCTGCACTGGCAGCGGATAAAGAGAAGGAAAGGCTCACTTTCCAGGGAAAGCCGGGAACTTTAACCCGAGACTATACACCAGTGACACTGAATGCAACCAAACACCAAAAGTGACAACATATAAAAACTGTAAGTGCATTGGTTCATGTGATTTTATGGTAAGTTCATATTAATTCTAAGGGTAAATAAAAAGCCTTCACAGTTACATGATGGCAGGTCTGCTGAGCCAAGTGGAGTGTATATCCTATGTAAACTCATTGGCATGTAATGTGTCCCAGCCAAACGCATCTGCAGGAACAGGATTGCTGAGATCAGGAGCAAGATCACTGAGATCAGGAGCAGGATTACTGATAGCGGGAACAGATTCACCAAGTAAAAATTGAAAGAACTGCGGATGCTGTAAATCAGGAACAAAAACAAAGTTGCTGGAAAAGCTCAGCAGGTCTGGCAGCATCTGTGAAGGAGAAAACAGAGTTAATGTTTTGGGTCCGGTTACCTTTCCACATAATCATGAGTTAAATGGAGTCAGCAGACTAGGAAATCACCAGAATATATCCCTGAATGTGGCTGGACCGAAATCTCCAGGAGTGATTTGCAATAGGTTTTATTTGTGGCTGTGAGTTCTCTCAGTCAATCCGACAGCCTGTCTGTCAGTCTCAGGACAGTCAGAGATACAGGCAAAACATGGAAGAGTTTGTTTCACCTGCATCAAAGCAAGTCACCTCCTATTTTCTCCCTGCACTTTGCTAGTTGTTGGTGGATAATAATGTGCTGAGTCTGTATTTTAGCTGGAATTTATTGGCGTCTATCACACTTTAATATGGATGTGTTTCTGTCCTTACTCCTCAAGCAGTAACTCACCTCTCCACCTCTCTAAGTAAAATACTTGTCTCTAATGTGAATTCTTCTTTATCTCTTTGCTCATTTCGAGTGACATAACTACTTTGTTTTGTTTTTCACCCATGAGATGTGCCACTGCTGATAAAGCAAACATTTCCTACTTTACCTTGAGAAAAGTATCACCTCACTGAACAGTTCATCCTGTACACTGAGTCCATCACAGCCAAAATCTCGGCTCCTGAATTTTTTTTATTCTTTCAGGAGATGTGGGCTTCTCTGTTTGAGCCAGCATCCACTGTCCACCCCTAACTGTTTTGGAGAAGGTGGTGTTGAGCTACCTTCTTGAATTATTGTTGTCTTTGAGTTACCTGTCCAGTTTGGGAGAGATGACCAGATTTACAGGGATACGGGCTGAATGCTAGCAAATGGGACTACGTCAGATTGGGATGTGTTAGTGCGGATGTGCGGACGAGTTAGTTTGAAGGGTCTGTTCCCATGCTGTTTAATGTATGACTCTATGACTAGGGTTTTGACCCAGGGCGGATGAAACATTAGTGACGTATTCCCGAGTCAGGATGAACTTGAAGAAGGCCATTCAGCCCATCAAGCCTGCATTGGCTCTCTTACAGTAGTCAGTCCCATTCACCCACACTTTCCCCATGAGCCTACAATATCTTTTTCCTTCAAGTGCTTTTTCCTCTTGACGGCTACAATTGAATGTATTTCTACCCCATCAATTCCAAAACCAAAGACTTAATGTATTTCTTCTTCCTCATTTCTCTTCGGATACCTTGGCTAATTCACTTATCCCATTGGAAACTCTTTCCTTTTATGTGGTGCTGTTCTGGCTGGTGCAGATCATGACTTTAGAAAGCGTTATTAAAATGCAGGGCAACTCTTGTCTTTCAGGCTCTCCTCCGCAAATTACAATTCTCCATGGCTTTAGATACTTAGATCCATTAGCAGTTAGATCCATTTAGAACCTTAGATCCATTAGCTTGTTTGCCCTGAGGTAGGCAGGGTTACACATTACTGTGTGCCAGCCTTTCTGATTTCCTTCCGGCTTTCTGAACATACATCAATAGACCAGGCCTTGTCACAGCCAACGTCTCTGCTCAAAAAATGTGGATACAGAGAGAAAAATGACCCAGTTGTCCTCTTGTCTAACTCTCTCCCAGAAAGGCCTTGTGGAAACTCAGTCACTGAGGAGGTCTAATGTAGAAATTGATGGATTTCTGATTACTAGTTATATACAAGGTCATGACAATAGAGTGAGTAAAATGCATTTGATCAGCCTTGATTGTATTAAATGACAGGACAGGCTTGATGGGTTGAATGGCCTTCTCCAGGTCCTTTTCTTAATTAATTCATGGGATGGAGGCGTTGCTGGCCAGGCCAGCATTTATTGTCATCCCTAATTGCCCAGAGGGCAGTTAAGAGTTAACCACATTGCTGTGGGTCTGGAATCACATGTAGGCCAGACCAAGTAAGGATGGCAAATGAAGGCCATTAACAAAGAACAAAGAACAATACAGCACAGGCCCTTTGGCACACCAAACCTGCACAGACACAAGAAGCCCTTTTAAGCTAAAAAAAACTTTTGTCTCCAAATGGTCCATATTCCAATGTTGCCTGCCTATTCATATAACTGGCAAGATGTCTCTTAAACGTTGCTATTGTATCCATCTCCATCACCACATCTGGCAGCACATTCCAGGCACTTACTACACTCTGTAAATAACTCACCTCTCACATCTCCTTTAAACTTATTCCCTTTTACCTCAAACCTATGTCCTTTAGTAATTGACATAGCTACCCTGGAAAAAAGAACCCAAATATCCATTCTTCTTATAATTGTATAAACTTTGATCTGGTCGTCCCCGTCAGCCTCTGACATTCGAAAGAAGTTAGTGAACCAGATGGGTTAGACCTGGTGCAGGCATAATGAGCCAAATAGCCTTCTTCCACACCCCTAATAACTCTGCAGTCCTGTGATCGTGTGACCACATTATTTGGAGGTTCTGCCACACGACATTGCGCACTTTGAGACACACCATACTTTCCCATTTCTTTTTTTTCATTACCACCTCCATTGAAGAAACTCAACTGGTTATTATCTTCACTGAGCCTTTTATAATTGTCGGTGCCTCTTTCACAGTTAAACATCGCTTCTTGGCTGGCGATTATGAACGTGAGACGTTGGGAATCAATTTAAATGTGACGAAGACCTTCTAACTTCATTGTCCCTTTGAAGCGATCTCGAACTTGAGTGCTAAACCTACTTTTGTGTGTCTTAATTAAATCCCCATCATCACATTCTGTACACATTAAATGAATCCAGCACTGAGAATAAGTAATATTCCTGGACTCTACTTGAAACACAATGCTTTATTTCTTCTGTGTAACGCCAGCTCTTCCACAAGAGCTGCTATTCTGCTGATCATCAGCAGCGTCTTATCAAGTATCCTTCTCCACTGTTATATTGTCAACAAGTCGATATTATCGTGCACAACATGGATAGTAACACCACAGTCTAGCTGCAAGCCGACTTCAGCATTTTTCAGGAGCATGTTGTAAGTCAGGTTTATATGTTGGTTTGCAGAAATGGACTGTTTGGTTTTTATACTCCTGTTTCATTATGTGAAGTCTTGGTCCCCATATCTAAGGAAATGTATACTAGCATTGAGGCAATCCAGAGAAGGCTCACTAGACTAGTACACAGTTCTGGAGGGACTGTCTTATGAGGAGAAGTTGAGAGGTTGGGCCTGTACACATTGGAGTTTAAAGAACGAGGAGACTTTACTGATACATACAAGATCCTGAGACGATTTGACAGGGAAAGGTGGTTTCCCTCTGTGGGATTGTCCAGGACCAGAGAGCATAATCTCAGAATAAGGGGTCCCCCACTTAAAACAGAGATGAGGAGGAATTTCTTCGCTCAGCAGGTAGAGAATCTGTAATTCTTTCCCACAGAGGTCTTTCGAGTCTAGGTCATTAAGTCTATTCAAGGCTGAGACAGACAGATTTTTAAACTTGTTACCACATAGCCTGCCATTACACACCCCCTGTTGTTAGTCACTAACAGTCCCCATTAGCAACTATTCACCCTCCCAGCCTGATCGTTAGCAACTCCTTTGTCTGTCCAACTGTCTTTCTCTCTCTTTGAGACCCACGTCCCTATTTTCTGCATATAAACTGACGTTTTCCCAGCCACCATCAGTTCTGAGGAAGGGTCACCGGACCTGAAACGTTAACTCTGTTTTTCCCTTCACAGATGCTGCTAGACCTTCTGAGCATCTCCAGTAAATTTGATTTTGTTGTAGGTTTTCAAACTGTAAGGGTTATGAGAATAACGGCAGGAAAGTGGAGTTGAGCATGGTCAGATCAGCCATGATCTCGTTGAATAGCAGAGTGGACTCGATGGGCTGAATGGTCTAATTCTACTCCTATGTCTTACAGTCTTATGGTCTCATGTAACTCTATTCTTTTCACAATTATGTATTTTTCTGTAATCCATCCATTCTCTTCAGCTAGTTGTAAATTCCACTGTCTCGTCAGTGAGACCACACCACCCATAGGACCACACTTGGTGTGCTGTGTACCAAGGGAAGGATATGAGGGTTTGTTAACTCAGTTGGCTGAGCAGCTGGTTAGCGAGATCAGCAGTGTGGATTCAATCCTGGCACTGGCTGAAGTTACCATGAAGGACCCTCAGGTCATGTCTCTCTAATGAGAGAGCAGCCCTATGGTCTAGTAATGCTTTGGTGATTTTACCTGTGTGCAGTTTTAATTGTCTTATTTTAGGGGGGATGTATTTACATTGAAGGCTGATCAGAGGAGGTCCACAGGATTGGGTCCTCATTTAAGGTCTCATGAGGAAATGTTGAATAGGTTGGGCCTGTATCAATCAGACTTAAGAGGCTGATTTTTTTGAAACATATATGATTCTGAGGGAGTTTGATGGGTTATTTGACTGGGTAGGTACTGGGAAGATATTTTCCCTATTGGGGAAAGCTAGAAATTGAGGGCACAGTTGGAGTGTCAGTACCTGAGAGTTTTAGGAGCTTCTGTTCTTCCATAGAGTCATAGAGTCATACAGCATGAAAACAAACCCCTTGGTCCAACCAGTGCATCTCAAACATGTTCCCAAACTAAACTAGCTTCACCTGCCTGCAATTGGTCCATATCCCTCCAAAACTTTCCTATTCATGTGCTTATCCAAATGTCTTTTAAATATTGTAACTGTACCTACATCCACTTCCTTTGGCAGTTCATTCCACACACCAAACAACTCTCTGTGTAAAAATGTTGCCCCTTATGTCTTTTTTAAATCTTACTTCTCTCACCTTAAAAATATACCCGCGAGTTTCAAACTCCCCCACCCGAGGGAAAATACCTTTGCTATTCACCTTATCTATATTATCTATGACCCGCACAATTTTATAAAGCTCTATAAGGTCACCCCTCAACTTCCTATCCTCCAGTGGAAAAAGTCCCAGCCTATCCAGTCTATTTTTATATCTCAAACCCTCCATTCCTGGCAACATCCTGGTAAATCTTTTCTGTACCCTCTCCAGTTTAATAATATCCATCCTGTAGCAGGGTGACCAGAACTGCACACAGTACTCCAGAAGAGGCCATTCCAACATCCTGTACAACCTCAACAAAGGAAAAGGAAAGGTTTCTTGTTAAGGCATTGAATGAGACAAAGGATGAAATGTTACAGCTTTGAGACAGCGTGAGGTGTTGCTGATAGGGCCATGCAAACAGGACTAGACCATTCAGCCCATCAAGACTGCTCCACTATTTAATACAGTCAGTGCTGATTGAATCCTGATGATTTTTACCCACACAGTCCCCATAACCCTTTACACCATTGATAGCCAAACATTCATG